GGGGGCTACGGCACCCAGCAGCAACAATTTGCTCGGGTCTGGGGCCACGAAGGCCCTCGTCAGACACCAGAAATAAAAGAATTGAAGCAATTTGAAGAAAAGGAAGTAGTATATGTGCATGGGCAGCTTTTCAGCTCGTGAACACGTCCGTCCTGCCACTGCGATGTGGGCTGCGGCTGTCTGCCAGCCTGAGCTGGCTCAGGTACGTTAACATCCAGCGCTGTGCTGGAAGACACACGCTCAGATATTTCCCCCCCCCCAAAAAAAAAAAAAAAGTACGTTTACTTCTGAAACTAAAGCTTTGTTTTACACGGTCACAGTGTCACACGGTCACAATGTCACGCCTTTGTTTTTCCGTAATTCCATTATCACAAATCACAGGGTTGCCAACATACCCCAGGACCAGAAGATCACCACTTGACAAGTAGCAGATGCCTGCTCGGAGGTTTTAAATAACATTCATTCATTTTCCAAACACAACAACGCGAACTACCTACAACTTCTTAGCAGCAAACCCAGACACAAAGCCTGTAAAAACGCGCAACCCTCCAATATTCACTCTTTCAACCAATTTTAGTCCAGGAACAATCAAAAGAAATGAGAAGGAAAACCTAAGAGGTTTCACACAAGCTGTTTCTGTTTAAGGACAGAAGTTTTAGCTCAAATGCAGCATAATTGTGATGTCATTGAACACAGCAAAAGCTGCAGGCAAGCAGAGCGCTTTCATTGTAATACCACTACTGTAGGCACATTTGAAACACTATAGCATCCTCAGCCATAATTATAACTGTTTGCTGTTCATGTGGTTTCAAAGATAATAGAAGTTGTTCATAAAATTTACACGATGGCGATGCGCTGCATACCAAACATAAACTCGGTGTCGCAGGCAAAATACTCCCAACGAGAAACCTGCAGACCATCAAGTTATGAGTTAATATCATTATGATCGGCAATTAAAAATAGAAAACCAGAGACACAACACCCAGATCCTCAGACTTAATCAGATAAAGCAAGATGGACTTGCCTGGTTAGCCAGGACGGAGTTTCAGCACCTGAAGAGAAAGCCAACTCAATGATCATGCATGGCCTCATTGACATTCCCCAACAGAGATCCATCGTGAAGAAGGAAAAACACCAATGGAAGAGAGGGAAAATCAAAGTTTAAAGAAAAAGAAAACACTTAAAAGGGCTCAAGTCTATTTCCCTAGCTTCTTCCCAGCCCACCTGTGGTGGTAGCTGGTGGTGCCTCCTCGCCCCGTGGCAGGGAGCTGGCAGCTGTGCCTCTCCCCCATGTGTTGCAGATGGGGCTTCGGGGAGGTCCTCCCAGGCCGAGGATCTCCTCTACAGCTGTCAGACAGAAGAGGAGAGAGCGGCCCTCACACAGTTAATGGGTAGGTTTGCTGCTCCTCACCACCTTGCTGCTCAGCTTCACCCGCAGAGGTGCAAAGAGAGGCAGATGTGGTATTTGGCAAGCTGTCAAGACACATCTTTCTTTTTAAAAGTAAGGCACACATCACCGGCTGCTCTCAGCTGGGTCCTTCTGTCTGCAACAACACTGCCGTCGGCGCTGAAGATGCCCTTTTCAAACGTGGTCAAGGAGGAGAGGGTGATATAGGGGGAAAGCAGTCATTTTTTTGCCAAGCGCTGCCCAACGTGGACTCGTTCCCTTCCCACCCCACCCTACTGCCGAGGGCTGCCCTTAGTCCTGGCAGGTGACTCCTCGTGGTGGTGGTCTTTCACATCAGAGCCTACCACCCTGTGGTCCAGCCATCCTGCCCCGTGCAGGGTCTTATCCTGCACCCGTAACTCAGCGCAGGGTCCGGATCCCATCCCTCTGACACAGTCGTAGGCACAGGGCATCGCAAAGGGCAGCATCCCGCTTCCACTTGTACCAGCCGTGTCGTTTTCATTCTTTCATCCATCACCCTGTCCTCTCCCCTCCACAGGCAGTCTCTCCCTCTAAGTACTTCTTGGAGTTTTGGAGCCTGAGGACAGGTTTGAAGCTTTGGAAGCATCATAAGGGTTATTTCCATTGACACCCACCACAGTCCTGCTGTCTCTCCAGCTAAACAGTAGCGGTCACTGGAAAAGTTAATGGCGATGCTGCCACCGAGAGCCTTGTGATGCCTGCCCCTCCTGTCAGAAAAACACTCAAAGTGAATCCGAAATCAAAGTAGACAAAGCTGAAGTTCTGCTTATGGGCGTCCCACCCAGTGACAGCAGCGTTGTCTCCTTTGATTTCCAATTCACTTTGAAGGTCTCCAAACAGGAGGCGCAGCTCAGCTGCGGAAGCAGAAGATCCAGAACTGGGAACGCCACCATTTACTTCTCCTGTGGCCGTGGCTGTTAGGTGGAGGATGCTTAACAAAAACCATAATAAACCCCGAGCTCCGACGGGAATAATCTACCCGCATTATCCTTTCATGCTTGTGCTTCCTTGCATGGGTGTACGCGGGTTTGTGTTAGTCCAGAAACCGCCGAGCGCAAACAGAGCGGCTCGTTCCAGCTGAACTGGGGCTTTCTGCATGAGCTGACATTTTGGAAAGTAGTTTCCTTCTTGGAGCTGAGAAGGGATTTTTCTGGCTTACACAAAGTGGGAAATTGTCCACAGCTCTCAACTTCCACTCCTAACATATTTTCGCTAAGTAATTTGCAAGCAAAACAGTCCAGAAAATGCTCGGTCAGAGCAACGTGTTTTTATAGCCACTTATTTGAAAGAGCAGGATATTTTTGGTAATGCTGCTGGAATGGCAGTTCCCGAATTCCTCGCTGCATCATCTGTTGCTTTTACGCACATTTATACCTTGAGAGCCAGGGACAAAGTGAGCAGCACTGCACCAGGGGTGGTTTGCATCCCCAGTTCACCAGGCACAAACAGCCAGGGAGACCCCCTGGACCTGGTGAATCGCTGATAAAGGGCTTTTCTGGTGGGATCGAGGCTCCCTTAGCTAGCCGGCTCCTGCATCGCCTCCATGCTACTTCTTTCCTGCTGACACTTCGCTTGGAGCTGGGAAGGGCAGAGCTGGCAGACTGGAAGATTGCCTAATGTGCTGTGACTGACGTGTAATCGAATATTCAGGCTCTGGCCCTCGTGTCCGCGGCACAGTGACTACGACACCCTCCCGCCTGGTTGTGATCACGCCTCGCTGTGCTGCAAACAGTTTCCCAAAGGTGCGGCGTGGCTTCTTCGTCAGGCGGACGTGTGAGATGGTCCCGGAGGCCACCTGCTGCCGGGAAGGTGCTGGGGACCGGCGAGGGACTGACCTTTATCTGGCAGCCACAGCCTCGCACCGAGGTGGCTTTCGGGGCCACCGCTGCGCCCAGTGACCTGGACGAGCCACCTGTTCCACATCAGGAGACCGTCTCTGTGAAAAAAAAAAAAGAAAAGGGGGAAAAAAAATAAAAAAAGGCCATGTGGGGGTGAGAAACCCCAAGGGGAGGAACTCAGATGTTCGGGTCAGGCCTCAGAAAAGGTATCAATTCTTCTTGCCACTTAGCACAGCCTGCTGCCCGCCCGCGCTCTTTGTCTCTGCCCCCTTCGCAGCGCGGAAAGCATTTCCCTTTTAAATGACATCTGAGCACTGACATGCTGGAGGCACCCATCCTGCATCATCTCTGGCAGATGGTGCAGCTGGCCATGATTTTCGGGATTGCTTAAATAAAACCGCAGTGCCATATCAAGAGATGGAGAGAAAATGCTCAACAGTGCTTAAGATGTTTAAACATCGCAAACTGTCTGAGACTTCAGATTGCCGTGCTGCGCTTTTTTTTGCTGGTGCAACCATCCTAATGAATAACAAGAAATAAAATCGCCGTCACTGACTCTATCTCTTTTCTTGCTGGGAGGCAGAGGCAAGCCCTACGATATGCCCGCTCTGACCCAATATCAGACTTTTTCTCTTGGCTGCGGTGGGAAGAAATTTGGGCAGCTGTGATAACAAAAGTCAAACGCCCGAGGTTTCGGGAGAAGGGAGCTCTGCTGCTGCAAGTGTCAGCCCCGAGGTGCCCCGCTGCCTTCGGACCCACTCCCTCGGTCCAGTAAAGTCTCTGCATTGCCTTCTGGTACATGCAGAAATGCTCAAGCCAACACACACCAGCTTGCCTTTTCCCCTGCAGTTTTGCTGGCTTTGAGCTAACCCACTCGATGGCCACTTCCCTGCCCCCGGGAGACGCTTGCGCTTAGTGCCTGGGGGAAAAGCCTTTTATATTGAAAACTGTCCTTGTCATAGCCAGGAGCCATTTAGCTCTACAGTAAGACTTCAGCTTTTATACTATCTAGACATAATATTGGAAACTACCAGTAATCAGGAAACTGTGTCACAGGTGCTGAAATCCAGATTTATTGGAAATAAAAAAGAAAAAAAAAAAAAAAAAAAAGGTTCAGTGCCTAAAAGAAAAAAGGGTTCAGTGCCTAACTTACTGGGATTTCTTTGAAAGTTTGAGCCCTGGTAGGTCCCAAAGTACATGATAAATTGTTGTTGCACTTATGAAGATGTTATCACGAGAGAGCATCACCTGTAAGCATCAGAGAGGTCCCTCACATCTGTAGCAAACCTGCTGAATACCTGGGAATCTGCCTAAAATTTACGGTCATCCCCAGCAAGGGAGATGCTTGGGAGGGAGCTGAGAAATGCACAGTGCCCTGATTTTATTCTCCACACCCTGCTTGGCATTATCTTGCCAATCAGGAGGCTTGATAGGAAGCTAAAGCCTGAGAAGCTGAGATGAATCCCAGCATTTCTTCATTTGCTGGGCACCGTGGCAAATCTATGGGCACTTCAGAAGACCAGCTCTGCATCCTCCTCATGTTGTGCCCCCTCTGTAATCCCCAGCCACGGTGGGAAAGCAGCCGGAAAAGGGCCAGGATCCTTCTCCAGAGCTCCTCACCCACCCCTGCAGGCCGGCGATGCTGCAGGCGCGGGCAGCTGGCCGCCCTCCGCCGGGACCACGCGCACCGCTGCTCAGCCCCCTCCAGCCGCAGATGTCGGCGTTTATTGCTCAGGTCTCCCGTATCACCCAGCCACCTGTACAGCATATTTAGCACACAGCACTTGCTCTGTTGCTGTTTGCACTGGAATCATCTTGGCAGGAAATGGCAGTTAAACCCGAGCATAATTTTTTACACTGTGTGTAATGTAAAATCGCCTCTTTGGATACGTAATGCACGCTCGTTGCCTTCTTAATGGAATATAGTATTTCTTGTCGCCGGCAGAAATTGGCCAGAATTGGTATTTAAGGTCTGAACATCTCCATCCCAGATCACAATTGCTGGGAAAAAAAAAAAAAAAAAGGAAAAGGAAAAGAAAAAGAAAAAAGGAAAACCAACCACCAAAAGGGAACTTTGACAAACTGTGCATTATAGATGTGGAGCACTGCTGGACCCAACATCGCGATGGTGACATGAAGTGTCACCATCACCAAGTTGGGTTTGAATGGAGGCTTCAGATTCAAACACAGATCCAGGATCTGGATGGTTTTTTTGGTTGTGATCCCATTCCTAGCCATATCCATTTGATGTTACAGAGCAGGCTAGCACACTGCTTACAAAGCCGCTTGGAACAACTCTTGCTGTTGTTTGTATGTTTATTTCCTTCCTTTTTTTTTTTTTTTTTTTTTTTTAAGTAAATTTCAATTTTTCTTCCCCCAAACTTTGAGAGGTGACATGACTGAACACTTCAAGAAAATAATTTCTGCCACTGCTGCTCAAGTGATACAGTACTTTTTTTTTCCTCTTTAAAATGTAGGATGCTAATGATAATGTTTCTCTCATAGATGATCTTGTACTTTTTAATGATACCCATAGTTTTCCTCCACATAAATGACTAAATCCTCACAGAAATCTCTGTCTTGATTAGCACTCCTGCTAGTAAAATTTCACATACTAAATCAGTACCAGCTGTAGCAAGAAAGAATGAAAAAGGCAAGTGTAAATGTTCCATATGCCCTACCAAATTGGCATCTGTGTCAGTAACCCTGTGTTTTTTTAAACAATTGTATACATACATTCTCAGAAGTGTTTTGCTCACAGGATTCTGCAAGCAAAATTTCCTCTGTTGGTACATCACTGAAATGTCACGTCTAAAAAAACCCCAGCGAGTAGTTTTCTCCTTCTCCCTCGCCCGCCCAGCTCGGCGTACAGCTGAAGGAGTTACCTCCACTTTGCTGCACCTTCGCGTTGACGTCTGCCCTCCGAAACCTGACCCCAGGAGCACTTCTGCAAAGCTGCGTCGCATTTAGTGCTGGGTGATTAGTAACACTTTCAAAAGCCGAAGCTGCTACAGCATCGTAATTAGTTCCTGAGCTCGATTCGGAAAGGAGGACTCGCGTCCCACAGTGGCTGGTGGGGAATGCTGCCTTGGGAAGCACTCATCCTGGCCAACCTCTCGTCCTTCGTGTGGCTCACGGCGAGGATGCAGGAGGGAGTGCTGCTCCGAGGCCTCCTGGGGATAGCAACCCAGCTCCGTCCCGCAGGATCGCTGCCTTGGGGAAAGGTTGGGCCATGATCACAGCCCCCCTGGGCCACCTTCGTGGTGATGGGCTGGCCGGGTACCACCTGCTCCATCGTTTTGGTGTCTGAGAGAAGAGAGCGTGGAATATGGCACAATAAATACATGCACACCCCAGCTTAGAAGTAACCAGCCTACGTCCACAGTGGTTGCCCACTTTTAAGTCAATTGATGCCCGTCCTGCGCCTGGAATTTGATCGGGAACAGCGAAATGGACTTCCAAAGTTAAACAAACATTAACTGGCGCTCCAAATGGGTAGCAAATGCTGCAGCCTTCTGGGGAAAGATGATATGGAGCCAGACTGTCCGCTGGCGTAAGTCAACCTAACTTCACTGGACTTCGCTGGGGCTGAGCTGATCAACACCAGCTGAGTGCCTGATCTGCTGGAAACCCCAAAACCAGCCATCGCGTTTCCCTGACGTGGGATGATATAAAATAAACAGGAAGAATTAGGAACCAGCTAAGGGCATTAATCAGATGTTCCTGGGGGAAAAATAAAATCTCGCTCGCCTTTCCAAAAGTCAGAGACACCCTCGCTCCTCACACCCTGGGCCACGACAGAGTGGTGACACTTGTTATGCTTTTTTTCCAGCGCAACACGGAGTGTATATTTGCACATCATGTCATGCCTGTCCATGGTAATCAGAAGCCATTATTTCCAAAAGCTCAAAATTCCCTCCTGGACTCTGGTATGCCAAGTTTTAGTTCACAGCGATTTTTTTTTTTTTATGGTTGATTTATAATTGCTGCAAACAGAAGTTTATAATGGAAATGCTGACAAAACCGTAACTACAGTGTCACGTTAACACTGCTATTGTTGCCTCTGTGTCAGACTTGCCTTTAACCCTATGAGCTGAGACTTGGATCGAGTATCAACAAAAGCCCAGCGTTCACAGGGCAGGGTAGACAGAGGACTGGAGACAAGGCTCCTGGAATAAAATCCTTGCCTCAGTGAAATCAAAGGGATTTTGTCCCTGGTGTCTAGTCTTGCTTCTGCCAGACACTTGCTGTGTAATTTGGACAAATTTATCCCCTGCAAATATGGACAGGGAAATATGTTCTGCACTTACCTTACAAGTGTTGCAGCACGATTAGCAAAGCGTGCTATTAAAGGAAGCAGAGGAAGGCTAAGGATAAATATAAGTGCTACCTACAAATTATTTACAAATAAAACAGGCAAATATTATTCTAGGCACCCTCTAAGTATGGAAAGGAGTAGGAACTTCACAGCTCTCCCACCTGTATTTACACAGAGATACCAATATAATATCTACGTGTAACACCCTCATTATTTGGGTCTCGTCTCATGTTTGCAATTTTCAGTTTTATTCCTGGCTTAGGTCTCATTCCTGACATTTTTATGTAGGTTTGTGTGCAATAATACACATGCATTAGATGGTGTTGAAACCATCAGCCCGAGTTACTATTTTTAGTGCGGTGCAGAGGATGGGACAGAGACATAAGTGACAATTAAAGAGAATATATTCAGAGCTGTCATCAGCAAATATTTTTTTCCCCTTGCCAGGAATCGTTAAGTGTGTCGAAGGGCCTCCTAGGCAAAGTTTTTAAGGCAAAACACTCGGGTCATTGCAACAAGCAGGCTAAATGACATCACGAGGAGGCTGGGCTGCTAAAAGCTTCCTGATCACCAACTTGCGAGAAAACTTTTATTTGCTCCCTCAAATTGCTGATCTGCCTCTTTGCTTCTGTACTACACAGAGTCTGCAGATGTATATAATTTACAGAGCTTTCCTCATCAAGAGGATTAGGCAGCCGTCTTTCAATATGTATAAGAAGAACAAACACACACTTACCCACTATGTTTTACGCCTGCCTGCAACAAACAGCTGAACAGATTGTGATGAAATTCAGACATTGACAATCTGACAAAAAAATTCTTTTTTGCCTTAAAATCTGGCTTCCAGAAGTTTTGCAAATCTAAATATTTTATTTGAATACTGCAAGGGCCCCAATCTTATGGAAAGCCTATGAAGCAAACACGCAGATATATGCAGTTAGGGAAAAAAGAAACACAGACACGAGACGCGTGTATCCGGGCCAACTTGCACATCTTCACGGCGACTCGGGTGCATTTTCCCTCCCCAGCTCCCGAGGCTGGAGCTCGGCTCCTCTAACGCACACTCCTTGCCCACCAGTGTTTCAGTGGTGCTCCAGCAGTAGTTTCAGTGTCAAATTGCCCTTTCCTCAGCAGGGATCGCTAAGCCTTTCTGTATTATACTTCCAAGACTCTCACGAGCTGGAGTTGGGAGATATAATATTTTCTTTGAAGTTTGCATTTCACAACACACTGGGATGCAAACAAGCTCCAGTTTCTCAGTAGTCAAACAATTCTGGCACACAGGGACTAGGACTAAATATTGTACCAAATTTTCTAATTACGTCTTTGTGATATTTACTACACGATGTTAGGTGAAAGCAGATTCTAATCAATATAAACCCCCTTGTCTAAACAGGACATCTGGGCTTTGAAATATTCTGTTTGTTGTCTCAAAATTACCCTGTAGCAAGCCACCATAACAATACAATATCTTAGTCATGGAAAACTTTGGAGTATTTCTGATAAACTTATCATAAACAGATGAGTGCTTTCTCTCTTACAATATTAAGGTGATGCAAAAAGTGAAGATAAAAGTCAGCTGTATGCATAAAATCCTAGAAACTTATGCCAACAAAATGTTATGTTTACAAGTTTAAAAGCTCAAAAGTCTGAAAAGGCAAAAAAAAAATAAAAATGGGATTCTTAAAGTAACACTAACTCAGCCACATGGCACATCCTGGCACATACGCTTAGCAAAATAAACATTAGCATATTCATATACACATTTCTAGAGCAACGTATTTTTAATGTGGCCAAACTAATTCAACAATGGGGATCTCAACTTTTCTCATTTTATGGCCAGATTCTCAGCTGGCATGGATGCATTATTGCAACAAACCCGCACCATCCACAGCAGCTAAGCAGCAGAAGCGCCGGTTTTGAGCACCCAAGTGCCAGATTCTGATACACTCACACTGACAAGTCTCTTCTTCTGACTTTAATATCAATATTCATAAAACAAGACAGACAGATGTGATCACGAACCAGCCCCTCAGCTAGGAGCCTGAGTTTCCAGTACAAAAACATTCACGAGAGTCCCATTTTCACCCATGCTTTCTCATGTACAAGGATGGGAAGGAATCCAGCCTCCCTGACACGGGTATTTTGTGGCTCAGGACAGGGATGGACATGGACAGCCCTTCAGGCCTTAACTTTGGGCAGTTTTCACCGAATTTCTTGGA